CCTTGATTTTAGCACATTCATCCATTTGTTGTTTTGAACGGCACATTCGTTCATTTGTGATCATTATAAAATCTATCAAATTGATGTTCTGAAAAAAAAAATTGAAAAATAAAAAAAAAGATTCTTCTTCAAAATACCGCAAACATTTCCAAGTTTAAATTGATCAAAAGAAAACAACTCCTACGTTTTTAAAAAAAAATTAAGGTATATCACTATTACAATAAATATTTACATAAAACTATTATTTTTTTTGGATCAAATTAAGAAGAAGGAATGTACGGTTTTTTAACTTAATCATATATATGCTTCAAATGTTCACTAAAACAGAGGAAAAAAGGAATAACTCTTTTGCGTTTGAAAAATTGGGAAAAGCAAAAAATAACAAACAAGAACGAATAAACTGTAATAGAACAAGTAAAGCAATCAACTGATCAATTTGTCGGAAGTCTCAATCCCAGAGTTCATTTCAATAATTCCGAAACCGAGCACTTTATCCATGCGAAAATTCGAGTCTCAAAGGCTTGAAGACCGAGGCTAATATATTCTCTGCACAAATGCACATATATCTGATCAATTTTATTTTAGATTAGAAACTCCATTAATGGCTTTCCTTGATCAGTGGCTAGAGTTCAAGCCCTCATCCTTGTTCTTTGCCCTAATTTTCCTTGTGATTTCACTGAAGTTCATCATAAGGAAAAACCCAATTATTATAGAAAGAAAAAAATCATTTAATCTCCCACCAAGCCCTCCAAAACTTCCCATTATTGGAAACCTTCACCAACTGGGCAAAAACCCTCACATCTCTCTCCGAAACTTGGCACAAAAGTATGGTCCAATATTTTGCTTGAATCTAGGTCAAATCCCCACGGTCATAATTTCATCAGCTAGAATAGCCAAGGAAGCGTTTAAAACTCATGATCTCGCACTATCGGGCCGCCCCCAAATCGTCGCCGCCAAGTACCTCTTCTACAACTGCACTGACATGGCTTTCGCCTCTTATGGAGATTACTGGAGATACGTTCGGTAACTCTGTCTACCTAAGCTTCTCAGTGCAGAAAGTATTAGAATCCCACATTAGTTTGAGATATTAGCATGATCCACTTAATAAGGTGAGTGCAATCCTCCCCTAACAAGCCGGTTTTGTTAGATTGAATTATGCCCAATATCCTTTGATTTTTGTAAAATGGTATCAGAGCAGGCTCAATTTTACAATGTTGGGTCTCCCAATATTAACTTATTCACAGTGGTTTGGCATGGTCCACGCTGTGCGTGAGGGGGCGTATTAGAATCTCACATTGGCTGGAGATATTAACATGATCCACTTAATAAGGTGAGGGCAATCCTCTCCTAACAAGCCGGTTTTGTTAGGTTGAGTTAGGCCCAATATCCTTTAATTTCTGTAAAACTTGTTAGTTTACCAATCCATCTCAAAAGCTTAAGTTGTTAAGAAGTGGGCCAACTATAGTTTTATACTTTAACACTCTCCCTTATGTGTGGGCTGGATAATGGGCAATCGTATGGGTAAATTAATTGGAAAGCCCAACACGTGAATATTTAAGTCTGAAATATATTTGATAACTCTAAGAAATTATAGTTATCCAATGGTTTTATAGCTCAAAAGTTGCGTGCCCAAGAGTGATTTGTCTAGTTTCTTGTGTGTTTTAATTTAGATTTTTATAGTTTACACTTACTATGGCTTAGCTCCGTACTTGTGCTCTTCTTGAAGTAAAAGTTGATGATTTTGAATTAAAAAAAGGTAGAAAATCGACTAAGACTGCGTGCGCGCTTTGCAAGAAATTCTTGGACTAAATGCTGCGGCATTCTGGCAACATTCTGGGAATAACAGGCATATGGCTGACGTCAGCGCACTACCTGGAGAAAGCAGACAAAAAATGGAATCCTTGTGAGCTGGCTGAGCATGTGTCATTGTGGTCCACTGTACACATCATCAAGTGACACCTCAGCCCTTGTGTTGCCCTAGAAGGGAATGTTTTCTTAAGACAAAGGGGCAGCCGCCAAGAGAAAATGAGGAGGAGAGAGAAACGAGGCTGAAATATAGAAAAAAGGACAGCAAGTATTTTCCTTACACAGAACAGATAGATCGTCTCTCTCCAGAAAATACACAGTGCATTACCTAGAGAGGAAAAAGCTTAGTACAAGAGCTGAGGAAGAGAAGAAATACAGAGAGTACCCAGTCCCAGAAATAGATTCAGAAATGTGAGAAGAAGGCAGGGGGTTGAAAGGCGTTTTGGCCGGACAAAGAGAAATCCAAGATCCAGCTGAAATTCGTTCTTCTTCTGTTAGCTTAACTCTCTTTTGTTATTTAGCTACTAATTTAGCTATGGATTATGCTGGGGCTTTGAATCTTGTAAATCTCGTTATGAACTAATTTGTTTTAGCTAGGTTTGCTAATGGAACCAAGATTGTAAGAATGAAATTTATTTCTGAGATGCTATTAAATTACTATTCATGTTCATTCATGTGAGCTAATGCCTATTTCTATTCTTGTCTGGCCATCGATTTTAGGATACAAGATTAAGATTAATACTGGAAGGGTTAGTTTTAATCGGATTTAGCATGAATGATGCTTGTTCAATAAACTTGCTTAGTTGTTAATTAGTGGATGATATAGGAATATATTATTCACCTTGCATAACTTAAAGAAACCTGAGCTTAAATATGCATCCCGAGAGCTGGATTCACATAGGAATATGCTGAAAATAGTTTGAGGAACCCTAGTCATAATTAATTCGGAAGAACTTTATGCAATAAATGAGTTTCTGTTAACAGGGGTAGTAAATCATGCAGCATTTCGGTAACATTTTTAGTCAGACTTGCAATTGAGGGGAAGTCTTTATTATTTGTCTGCAACATGTGCACTTGCGAGCATAAAAACCACACAATAATATTAAAGACCTGACACATTATGACAATTTTAAATGGAGATAAAGAGTGTAATTACGGGGATTTGAACTCAAGACCTCCCTCTCTGATACCATGTTAGTTTACCAATCCATCCCAAAAGCTTAAGCTGTTAGGAGGTAGGCCAACAATAGTTTTATACTTTAATAAAAAGAGTCTAGTCTTTTAGCCTTATTAGAGAAGAAGTAGCCCGTCTTGTTCGTCGTGTCGCGGAGCCTTATCCTCAAACGGTTAACCTTAGCAAGATGCTAGCACTTTACGCTAATGATATTGTTTGCAGGGTGTGTTTAGGAAGGGACTTCTCTGGAGGAGGAGGAGAATGTGAGAAGCGTGGTTTCCAGAAGTTGCTCTTGCACATCTTGACGGGAGTTAAATCAAGAGTCGTGAAAAAGGTTAAGGGCTTTGATAAACTTCTTGATCAGATTGTGGCTGATCATCTGGATGCCAAGAATGAAAAAGATGATGAGACCTTGTTGATGTCTTGCGTGATGCACAGAAGAATGGCTCTAGTGAGGTGCCTCTCACCATGGATAATGTGAGGGCTATCATCTTGGTAAGTGTAATTGATGTCTTCCGAAAGTTTTTCTTTTCCCTCCTTTTCAAGAAAATTGTCCATCCCATTGGTTGGTTGTCCCCCAAAACTATTTTACCATATCATCTAAATTTAAAAACTTAGACCATTATATATACTAAATGTTTTTAATAAGAAATAATAAGAAGATAAATAAAAAACATAAAAAAATACGTAAACAACCACTACAACAAATATTATTATCAATAACTAACTAAAAACGCTATTAAACATTATTAATAGCATTTTGTAGAGCGCTAGGACATCGAACGCTATTAAAAGTCATACGAAAACATAACGTTCTGAGAACAATATGAGAAACGCTACAGAATTAAGGTCTTATAGCGTTTTAGACATGTTATTTTCAGCCTCTTACAACTATTTGGCGTTGTGACAGTACAGATTAATAACTTTTCTCTCTTATTATGTTCATACTCCTGTAGCTTTTTAAAATTATTGTTGAATATTTTACCAATAGTAAAAGTAATACATACTAACGTCCTATCTACTTTTATTATGTTAATATCCTTTTGAATTCATTCAAATAGATGGCGATTCCAAGCAACATCTTACATCCAAATAGGAACATTCAAACTAAAACATAAAAACATTCAATGTAATAATTGTTATCAGTATCTACAAAGTTGACAATAAGATGTTTACAACACAAGTCACACCATTTGTCCACAACTTTAACATTAAAAACAAGTAAAGAATACAGAGAAATAACTAGAGATATCAAAGTATCCAAAACATCTAGCCAAATGAAATGGTTAAGTAAATAATCCATCTTGACAAAATGCTCCAACAAAAAGGTCACCTCCTCCAGCAAAGCAACTATTGACATGTCACAAAATTAGTCTAATTAATTAATTAAAACATATAAATTGATTAACTAATGAAGCACAAAAAGAAAAAATCAGATAAACCAACAACTGAACAACTGAACAAATTTTACTATAAAGGCAGAAACTTGTGAGCAAGAGCACTTGAGTTTTCCAGGACACTAACAACAAGTTCCTACGAGTTAACTCATATTTCATCTTGATTGTCAAGTAACAGCACAATTAAAATTATAATGTCCAAAGTATGTCACTTTTTCAATAATGGACATACAATCATGAGAGTCAAAGATAAAGAAATACTAACTTTTGAGAAACTACGTTAAAATCTTTGAGAAACTACATCAAAAGAACAAGCCACAGGAGACCAACCAACAACATGAAATATAACAACATGAAAATCGTATGCCCAAAGTCCTTAGTTTTAAGCCCTACAAATGAATGCAACATAGCTTTGCCAATTCAAGTTGTGGTACCTTACGATTCTTTAGCTTCAAATCCATATCCATTGATTTCTCCAGTATAACTTTTATATCTGAACTTATAGAACCAATCTCAGCCTGAAAGTGTTTCATGAAGTTGTCACACCCTGAAGCCGGGGTCGGTGACGTGGAGGCTCGATTATGAGTAATAATCAAAACCCAAAAGTAAAGTATTAAGTAAATTCCTAAACAAGCCTCCGTTTACATATTGCTGAAAATAAATTACAAGAAAGTCAAGGGGTTGCATGCACTTTCTGAACCGTTCAGGGCTTCACTCACAGAATACGCAACATTGTACATACATGAACATGTAAATGACATTACAAACATCAATCACAGTCTAGAAATCTAAATATTCAGAGTTTACAGAGGTTACAATCCTTACATTCGTACACAGGGAGAATAATCACAATTCTCACCAAATCCGATGGTAGCAACCTATTCAGCTACTCCGCACTGATCCTAGAGTCGCCTGGGAGGGGTTGATATTTATAAAACAATAAAAACGTGAGCGAAAGGCCCAGTATGATATATTTTGAAATAACTTTGTAAACCAATAAATAAATGAGTAAGCAAGTAAATAAATAAATGAATAAGTAAATAAGACATTCAGCTCCAACACAACAGCCAGAACCTCACATCATTTTTCTGAAAGAAAATATAACTAAAAATCTCCGTATTACAGGCATCAGCAAGTAATTTATACTATGATAAATTACTTACACAACCACAAGCACAAGCTCACATCATTTTTCTGAAAGAAAATATAACTAAAAATCTCCGTATTACAGGCATCAGCAAGTAATTTATACTATGATAAATTACTTACACAACCACAAGCACAAGCTCACATCATTTTTCTGAAAGAAAATATAACTAAAAATCTCCGTATTACAGGCATCAGCAAGTAATTTATACTATGATAAATTACTTATACAACCACAAGCACAAGCATATCATCCCCGGGCTGGGTTTCGAGTTCTGCCCCCAAGAATACACTCTCCACATCCTATCTAGGCCATCAGTCGGTTTACCGATTCACAAGATCTCGTCTTAAGAAATCATTCATTAAACTTTATGAAACCGTTCATTATAATTCCAATAGCTAAAATCAAGCTATTGTTTTTAAACATGCTTTTCTTTCACAAACATGACCTTTCTTTAAATCATTTGCAATGCCAAAACTCTTTTAAAATCAAGCTGCCAAAAAAAGGGATAAGGAATCCTATCTCACGAATACCCAAACCTGGCTAGCATTACACTATTCTAGCTTTCGCTTCCTTAAAGCCCCTCAATCCGAGTCCTCATCTAGCATTGATACAAAACATCACTTTAGGATCTAATTCTCATTCCTAAATCAATTCAATACCAATTATACACTTTGATTTCCTATTAGTGTGCCATAATTCAATTACCGATTTCACAAACCATTTCATGTTTCAAATCATCATGCTAATAGTCTTTAATCTCAAAACATGGATTAAAGATGTTAATCCATTCATTCTAGGTCCCCAAATGAAGCAAATTTGGGTTCTCTTCGAAAACCGAGGTCAAAACAGAATTTTTCAACAAAACAGGGTCAAACCCCGTGTACACCGGTCGACCAGTAACAGAGCAGTGCAACACCACCAATCGACCGGTGGTGTCCAATTCGGTTAACCGTATAGGTCGACCTGTGGAATCAGTGTAGTCCGGTCGACCGCACAGGTCAACCTGTGGAGAATAGCAGGGCAAGGAAACTCACCAAAATCAGTCAAAAACCTGTAATTTCAGTTCCAATTCGAAATATTTCAAGGGAGAATAACTAGATCTAGGTTCTAAGTACTGAATCAAGTCCAAAGAACCCAAGATCTCCAATTTCTATCATGGTTTTACTCCAAATCCATCAAAATCCATTCCGAACCAAAAATAGGTTTTCAAATCCGAAAATCTAAGATTCAAGAGAGGTTTTTTAAAAATCTTACCTCAAATTCTTCTCTTGACGTTGAAAGCTTCTTGAAATTCTCCTTTGGTTCGAAATCCGGGTGATTTGGAGAAAATTTTAACGGGAGAGAGAGAGAGAGTGTGTGTGTGTGACATGGGAAGGAAAGGAAAGAACGGAAAAAGAAAAAGGAAAATAAAAGAAAAAGAAAAACAGGTGTCCAAATATTTTAAATGACAGTCCAGAAAATGTGTCCACACACACTTCTGGAGTAAAAAATATAAATACTGAAAATATTTAAATACCTTGAAATTATTTAAATTTCCACTTCAGAAACATTAAATAATCAATAATTAATTAATTAAACCAGATTAGGTACACTAATAAATCATAATTACCTTAATTAATCTCATTTAATTCTTCGGGGTGTTACAGTAGTATTAGTTATCTTGACAATAATGTTACAATTTTAACAAAGAAATATACAGTATACTAGCATGAAAAAAAAGTCATGAATGAAAGTAAGAGTAAGATGAAAGTTAAATTATACTAAAGATTATAGATGTTTCACGGCTACACCTAAAACAACAAATAAGACAAGGCACCGCGACACCAATTTAAACATGTGTGGCAAAATAAGCAAAGGTTAGCACTTGTCACTAAATAAACCATTCACAAGTTAAAACTACAAAGAATTTCATTAATCAAAGCAAGAAATTCATTATCACAACAAAGGATTTAGCAAGGGACCTAATTAAAATTTCTCTGTTCATAGATAGAAAAGAAACAGAAAGAAACTTAGCCACACCCTACAAACTTGAGAAATCTATCCAATAACCAATGTATAAAGAACACAAACATGGGAAAAAGAAACACTCATCATGTCAAATTTAAGATGCGTTCCGTTGATGATGCACGAGAACCTATCCTGTCATTCAATATAACAGCGAATATGGTGCTATAAGAAAGAGAAATAAAAAATAAAGGATAATGCGGTTGCACATTTACCTCCCATCGTACAAGAGCAGTTTTTCCCCAAGTAATTTCAAAATATGTCCACGACTGATAATGGGAATCATCAAACCTTCAAGACCAGGAATACTAAGTGGGATGCGCGTTTGAATAATTTGGGACGTGGGATCCACCAAGGAATCATTAGTAATCTCAAACAAGGTTGAAATGCCCACTGACTTGTCTAGAAAGCTATACCTGTTTATATGAAGAATACTTTGTATAAGTAAAAGGAATGAGAAAGTGTGGATATTATTTGAAGCGTAGCAAGGGACAATACCATTGTAAATCATATTAACAAACAACCTTCAAAGGGAGTCTTGAAGAACATCAGATAATTTATACAATAAACTATGAAAACCATTGGCACAACAACATGGAGTTTGACACACTCCAAGTCTCCAAATAGTATTGCATGCGATGGCATGAATTTAAAGCCAAAGAGATAACCAAGATAAGAATATGACATACACACACTCTGCTGGCCAAGTTCCTTCAGAAAGGAATGAGTCTTCATTCCCTACATACAAAACTCCGTAAAGAAAAAAAATGTGCTATCACAATCTTGCAAAAATGAAGACAAAAAAAGATTCATTTCAGCTTTAAATACCTTTTAAGTGTATGATGTAGTTTACATATAATGGTTTACTGAGAAAATATTTGCATGAACTACAAAACTGAAACGCAATGACGCCCACTTTTTGAGCCAATGTCATAAAATAATCTCGTACTAAAATTATCTTACGAGGAATTAGTTTTCTGAAATTTTCTAACTAATTTCTGAAACACAACAATATGAAATTAACATATTCTTAAATCTGAAATCATCAACACAATTGCTTAACTAATCATAATGCATAGAATTGAAAGCATAATTATAGTCGAATTCGATAAATTATCAGAATTGAATTATTTTCACCTTTGGTTCGCAGAAACGGAACCGTTTGTTCCGAATGCAAAACTTTGAATCTTTGCTCAGCTCTCGGAGTCTCTTTGTGAAAATCCGATGCTACAAATGCGTTTGGAACGTCAAAAATAGGCTAGGGAGGCATTCTTCTCATTTCAGGCCAACGGGTTGATTTGTTGATCCGTCATTGTTGCCGGTCAACCGATGTAGTGGTACTGGAATCTGAAGACCCGATATACCATGTCGAAGCTCTCGATGAGACAAACTCGTTCCCACCTTCAGTTTCTTCATTTGACGCTCCGATTACCAGAAAATTTCTAAAAATATCAAAAATCTAACCGAAGGTGGTCGAAACTGTTCCGGCTACCAATGGCAGCAAACTTGGTATGGATTTGTTCAGCTCAACGAGAGGAGTCCAAAGAAAGCACTTTCCGGGGGATTAGGCGTCGGAAGGCACCGAAAACTGCGTTGGAAGGTGCGGTGGCCAGGAATTTCAAACTGAAATTCCGGCCGATCGGCGGGGAATCGGGCGGTGTGGTGATGGGGGTTTTGTAGATCGGCTCATGGGCTTCTTGGATCTGATCTCGGATCACTGTGGGTTGGCCAGAGGTGGTCAGAATCGACGACAGCGTATTTCTTCTTCCGTTGCGTTGGAAGGTGCGGAGTATCAATTTAGGGTGTTTACACATTTGCTCCTGAACTTGTAGCGCTTTAGCAACTTGAGTCCTGAAGTTTTAATTTTAGCAAGTTGCTTCCTTAATTTGTAAAATTATTATAATATTCCCCATTTTAATTATGTTGTGTTAAATTAGTGTTGAAAAAACACGTTTCATGAAAAGTTCTAACATCACAATTCAAATGTACGTAACACAAATCTTTAAATTTAATACACACATGTCCTAATATATATTTAAATATTATCATTATTGATGCTCTTGAATTTTAAGATCATTCCTAGTTTCCTCTAAAACTTTAAGAACTCTTACTTTGTCCCCATAAATTTTGAATTATTCTCACTTAACTCTATTTATTGTAATTTTTATTAAAAATAGATAGAAAAAATATATAATCATATAATCTTTCTGTTTGAATTTATGTTAAAAACGATCAAATAAAAACTACATTGTCACAGTTAACCTCGTCTTTTTCCATTGATTTTAGCATAAATTCTTATGAAAAGGCTTAATAGGAGAAATTCAAAGTTTAATAGACAAAATGAGAGTTTCAAAATTTAAAAAATAAAATGAGATGATCTCAAAATTCAAGAGGCACCAATGAAATTAATCTTATATTTAATGATGTCCAAGATGAGACGTGTGCCGCCAATACTACGTCTTTGTAATTGTAGAGAGCTTCTAAATAAACTCAAAATATAGAACATAATATATATAATATATTTCCGTGAAAATAAATCAACTTCAAATTTTCAATTTTCTTATTTGTATCCTAAAAGTTCACAATTATTTTTGTGCCCATCAAGTCCCACGTCTTTGGTTGGAAAAAATAACCTTCCGACAAATTTCTTGCCTTTCTTCGAGGGGAACAGTTGATAGAGAAGAAGTCCTTTTTTTTTTTTTTCTTTCACGGGGAGAGCGGAATATTGAAATAAAAGTAAACCACACAAAGTTTATCAACACTTAAAATTTCACAATTCTTTCTTTTTGCTCTAAATTTCACATTTAGACGTAACAACTTTAAGCAGTACTAATTTATTATATTAAGAGTACTATCATACATGATAAAGAGCAAGTTCGTGCTGATATTTGTCAATCGCAAGTACTATATAAGACCTTAATTATAGGACATTTTAGGGCGGAGAGAGAATATGAGAGACTAGAGATATAGCTAGCTAATCAAAATCTTTGAGTTGCAATGGCAAGAAGAGGAACTTTTCTGTGAGTAATGAAACCAGCAGATTCCGTCATGTCCAAATCCTCTTTTCTATTTCCATCCGGCAATGCCCAATGAAACTTGTGCACGATATTTGCTAGCACGAGCTCAATAATAGTCATGGCGAACAACAGTCCAGGGCAACCTCTCCTTCCAGCTCCAAAAGGAATCAACAAGAAATACTCGTTCCCAATCTTGAAATCTATGGCCGAGTTCAAGAACCTCTCCGGCTTGAACTCCTCCGGTTCGTCCCACAAGGCGGGATCTCTTCCAATTGCCCAGACATTGGTTATGACCATGGTCCTTGCCGCTATGTCATAGCCCATTATTTTGGTGTCTTGCCGTGATTCTCGAGGAACTATCAATGCAATTGGGGGATGCAACCGAAGAGTCTCTTTGATTACGGCTTTTAAGTAAGGTGTTTTGTCGAGATCACTCTCGGATATGTATGATTTTCCTTTGGCCATGCCAGTCACCTCCTCTTGCAATTTCTTGAGGATTTTTGGATGTCTTAAGAGTTCTGTCATTGCCCATTCTAAGGCTGCATAGGTCGTGTCACTTCCACCAGCAAACATGTCCTAAACCAACAAAACAAAGGACGTCAAATAAGGATAACCAAAGTTAAAAAGACATTTCAAAAAAAAAAAAATTCACAAGATACACCATTTATTTCCAATTTTCCACACTCTAGCAAATTCTTTTCTCGTGATCGAACGTTATAGGGAGATGCGTTAATTTTATTTATTAGTTTTTTTTTTCTTTTTTTTTTTTATAGAAAAAAGAGGTCTAGACTTGCAACGGATAATGGAAATTGACCCTAAATATTAGATGATAGAGCCTTCGAGATTGTTCTTCACTGTTATACACCACCATCGGTAATTAAAATGTTATTATTTATTTATGTTTCTCAAGGACGCTAATGTTATTTGTTAGTGAATGAATGCATTTTGAAACTAGTGTTACACCAACTATATTTTGTCCCTAAATAGCCATACAAAGATAATATGATATTGGCCGAAAAGGTAATTACAGTACATATTTTCAAGCAATTAAAGATATGATTGGGGTGATTTGCAAAAGATATGATTGGGGCAGCGCATGAATTTCACCGTTGAAAAGAATGACAATAAGACAAGATATTGCAACTTGTAAGGAGAAAAAGGACCCAAGGGATCACAGGCTTTTGATAAGGTTGGAAACTTCGCAGTGATTAATTATTGACAGCCGCAAATAGATTTATGCTCAACCCACCTAAATATCCTCAGCCACATACATACGTGTGAACCAGATCATAGCTTTATGTTCAACTAATAAATGATAAACACAATATATTCAATAAAATTTCAATTACTCTGTTGAATTTACATCTTGCGTAAAAATCCCATGGAGTTGGATAGAAAAGATTTATATTTATCGATTACTGTTAATAATGCTCCTTACGACCCAATGAATATTCTGTTATTTATATATAAATATATATGTATATAAATAAGTTTTAAATGGTTACGTTTACGTGTGTGTGTATATGTGAATATGTTTGTATGTATGATTTTTTTTAATAGAATGTAAAGTGTACTTGTGGTATTTAAGTGTCCACAAATTTCTTCTTAGAGATTGAGCTCATATGATCGTTTCTTATGTTTCCTTATATGTCTCCTTAATAAAATCTTGACACAAATAAAGAGTCACATGAGTTGATTAGGGTTGATAATTCGTGTTTGCGTGTCATGTTCGGGCCGACACGATTATAGTAAACACGAACACGGCACGATTAATAAACGTGTCAGAAACCCAAACACGAACACGAAATGCTAATAACATAGTTAACACAACATGGCACACAAATACGATTACTAAACGGGTCGTGTCGAGCCGACACAAAAAAAAACACGTGTATGACCCGTTTATCACCCAACTAGCAAAAATTATGGAATTTTACATTGTATTCAAAACTAATATTAATTGACCACTTACTATCACTTATAGTTAAAATCTGGCGAGCATATAATAAGAAAAACATAAATTCTTTAATTCTCCATAATAACCAACACACATAAAAATATCCAAATATCAAACACACACACATATATATATATATATGTGTGTGTGTGTGATACTCCTACCAGATCATAGCTTTATGTTCAACTAATAAATGATAAACACAATATATTCAATAAAATTTCAATTACTCTGTTGAATTTACATCTTGCGTAAAAATCCCATGGAGTTGGATAGAAAAGATTTATATTTATCGATTACTGTTAATAATGCTCCTTACGACCCAATGAATATTCTGTTATTTATATATAAATATATATGTATATAAATAAGTTTTAAATGGTTACGTTTACGTGTGTGTGTATATGTGAATATGTTTGTATGTATGATTTTTTTTAATAGAATGTAAAGTGTACTTGTGGTATTTAAGTGTCCACAAATTTCTTCTTAGAGATTGAGCTCATATGATCGTTTCTTATGTTTCCTTATATGTCTCCTTAATAAAATCTTGACACAAATAAAGAGTCACATGAGTTGATTAGGGTTGATAATTCGTGTTTGCGTGTCATGTTCGGGCCGACACGATTATAGTAAACACGAACACGGCACGATTAATAAACGTGTCAGAAACCCAAACACGAACACGAAATGCTAATAACATAGTTAACACAACATGGCACACAAATACGATTACTAAACGGGTCGTGTCGAGCCGACACAAAAAAAAACACGTGTATGACCCGTTTATCACCCAACTAGCAAAAATTATGGAATTTTACATTGTATTCAAAACTAATATTAATTGACCACTTACTATCACTTATAGTTAAAATCTGGCGAGCATATAATAAGAAAAACATAAATTCTTTAATTCTCCATAATAACCAACACACATAAAAATATCCAAATATCAAACACACACACATATATATATATATATGTGTGTGTGTGTGATACTCCTTCCTTCTTGCAAGCAAATAAATCAAAAGAAATGCTAATAGCAATTCAAACAAACCATTCAGACAAGAGCTTACCGAAACGAAGTTGGCACAGTAAAAAATGAGAGAAGAGATTCTGATCTAAGAGAAGGGGCAAAAGAGAACGGAGAAAAGTGAGTGAGAAACAGAGAATTAGGGCCGGCAAAAGGCAGGAGAGGAAAGTGAGCGGCTATGGTTAGGACTTAGGAGGAAGTGAGTGACAAACTGAGAATTAGTAATTAGGGCCTGCTATTTAAGTTTCAGACAATTTTTAAATTTTTTATAAATTTTTTATTTTTGTATATGGGTTATAAACGGGCGGGCCGTATCGTGTCAGCCCGTATAACTAAAAAGGTTAAACGGGATGGTTTATTTTTGTATTATTCATGCCAGCCTATTAATGACTTAATTAATAATCGTGTGATCCAAACCCATTTATTTCGTATAGTTTTCGTATTGTTTCGTCGTGTCTGAAATTATCGATCCTAGAGTTGATTCCTTATATTGCAATTCTCTAATGAGTTTTGTGTATTATAAGAAAAACACAGGAGAATTTGGGGGGAAAAAAAGGGCAAGAGAATATAGTCTTACCAGGATAATAGCTTTGATGCAATCTCTATCAATGGAAAAACCATCCCTTTCGGAATCCTGTTGAATCTCAAGCAGGACATCCACAACGTCCTTATTGTCCTCTCCTTTAGTAATCTTACAATTTGATCCTTCCATATGCTCATCAACCACTCGATCAAGAAACTCATCAAACGCCTTAGCAACCCTCTCAACTTGAGCATCAAGACCGTTGATTTTGTTGACCCAAGAAAGCCGGGGAATATAGTCGCCAACGTTGAAACTTGAAAGCAACCTCATCAACTCCCCAAGCAACTCCCTAAACTGCTTCTTTATGTCACTCTCGTCGTATTTCTTCCCAAAAGAGACCCTGCAAATGATGTCGTTTGTCAGCGACGAGAACATTTCGGTCAGGTTCACCGGCAACGACATCGAAGAGAACGCTCTTATGTTGTCCGCCAATAAGGCCGTTTCTTCTTCTCGTACAGATCGGAAGGATTGGACCCTTTTGGCGCTGAGAAGCTGAAGAACACAAATGCTTCTTATTTGTCTCCAAAATTCTCCATAAGGAGCTGTGGAGATGTCCCTTTGTTTGTAGAGAAGTTTTTGGGCTGAATTGGTTTTAGGTCTGCTGGAGAAGACTATGTCGTGGGTTTTCATTATGTCGCGGGCAGCGTCCGGTGAAGAGGCGATGACCACCGGACGGCTGCCGAAGTGGAGGAGCATGAGGGGGCCGTGGCGTTGGGCCAGCCGCCGGAGGGAGCGGTGAGGGTGGAGGCCCAATTGGTGGAGGTTTCCGAGGATTGGAAAGGTTGGTGGTGAAGGAGGCAAGTTTTTGTGGGGTTTTGATGGGTTTGAAAAAAAGCGTTTGAGGAGGAAGATTGTGAAGAAGATGAGGACAGGGAAAAACCAAGGATTCAACATGATTGTATGCTCGTTGTGTTTTTTGTTTTTTTTTTTTTTTTTCTGGGGAATTTAAAGGATGAAAGTTGCTATATTCATAAATGCTTCCTCTATATATATACACATATAGGTGTAGAAAATAATAGACAGAATTTACTTTTAAAATTGTATGAATCTAAATTTTTCCTCTAATATTATTTGTTAGTGTAAATATTTAATTAAAAAGATTATGAATTAAAAGTAAAGAATATAAATTTTGACTCGTACACTTTTAAGAGATATTTGTTAAAATTACTCAAAATAATATTTTCAGCTAGCTTACAAAAATAAGAACAAGGGAAAAATTCTTAAGATCCTTTGATTCAATTAAAATATCAAAAATAGAACTTTTATAAATTTTTTGATTTGCTTACAAATGCCAAGAGAATAGATATCAATCACTTGTTGATTCTAACAAATATCGAGTTAATTAGAATATTGAGAGAACTCTCAAATTATATTATTAATCATCAAAGTTCTCCTACAAAATAATATAAATAAACTTTAAATAGTAAAACTAATACCCTAATCATATTTTAAATTTGAAATAGCTAATATGGATATTATAAGGATAACTACCTCTCTAAAATACCAGAGGCCAAACGTGAATACATAATCAACATAATTTTAAATTTAATAATATCTAATAGTAATTCATAATTTAGATTATGAGTGGCAATTTGTGTCACATATTTCGTGTTGTATTTTGATCTTTTCTTTCTAAATTTACAGTCAACCCAAACACGACCCATGACACAAAATTTTTTTTAAAAGCGCAACACGAACACGACACGGCCACTTTACGGGTTGACACGACACGAAAATGACCCGTAACACGAAATTGACCCGTGAACCCGAAATTGACACAAAATTGTATACTTTTATTTAGTTTTTTACATATTAGAAATAGCTTAAAATTCATAACACACTAAAATACAATAACATCCATTGAAATTAAGCAAATAATAGTATAAGATTTTGAGTATAACTATCATGATATCACAAGTTCATAATAAAATCAAAAATATGTAATGAAAAATATGTCTTTTTTAGTTTTTTACAAGTTTCGTTTCGTGTTCGGGTTAGGCAGGTCCATCTTGAAATTGACCCGTGTTTTTCGTGTCAATTTTAGGTCGACCCAATTCTGACCCGAACATCTTTTTTCTCAACCCTAACCCGTGAAATTCGTGTCATTTTCGAGTTGTATTGTCGTGTCGTGACCCATCTTTTTTCTCGACCCTAACCCGCGAAATTCCTAGATTTTTTCCAATATTTTTCATTTTCTCATCCCCTCTTTCTCGAGAACTCATTGTAATTCTTTTGGACAAACATAGTGGAACCAATATAAAAAATTTAACAAGCAAACCTGTATAAAAGATTTATCAAACACCTACCTTCATTTGGTCATTGTAACTTTTGAATAATAACACAACTAGAACAAATATTCTTAACAACACACTAAGGTCAATTTGACTCTAAATTAATTGACAAAATGCAAGATCTAAAAGGGGGAAAAAAAAAGGAACACTTCGAGAGAAAAGGAAGAAGAGATCATCAAACAGCGAATAATAGATATATCTTGTGAGTCGAGACAACTTATTGCTGTTGCAACCTAATCCCCTCCCAATCGGCATGGCAAGCTTAGGTCCCTACTCCATTTTGTCGCATTGCGAGCTGTGCATCGCGATATCAACCCCTTTGGGTCATTGTGGGATGGAGCTTATCTCGTTGCTTCCATGGCCGCCACTTACATTGTCGTTTCTTCTATTGTCCTATAGATTTTTTCTTTAAAGTTACATTGTTTTCTTTAAAGAGATTTGAAATTTATGGAAAGAAATTTTGGCCGTATCTGGAATTGATATCATTTTTATTTTTTACGTTTTTCAAGAACAAAAAATAAAAACGTTTTCAAAATAGTGTTTGACGCAATAAAGACAAAAAACAGAAATGAAAATGATTTTTTGATTTAGTGTAAAATGAGAGATCAACTTTTAGTCATTTTTCATTTTTTATTTTCGTTTTCTCCTCTCTCAAGTAGAGAGAGAGACATTAATGAGTTTTTTCATACTGAAAATAATCTTTGAAAATAATTTCTTGATAAAACTACTAAACGCATTTGTAAAAATAATTTATGTCTGACATTGAAACGTTTTCATTTTTATTTACATACAAAAAATAAAATCATTTTAAAATGAGTTCTAAACGCACTATTTATTTCATATTTTCATAATCACCATGTATGAATGTGTCCTAGTTAAGAATTTAATTAAAAACGTGAGAAAATAGCGGTATAATAAAAAGAAACGAAAACAACAATAATCAAATATTAAAAAAATATAAACGACAATATGTCTCACATGAAAATGACAATGTGTCGCACATGAAAACTTTATACGCGCATAGCCCAAGCTCTCCCCATGTTTCACGGCTTCATAAAAAGAATAAAAATTTTACCATAAAAAATACTAATTTAATATAACACAACGTACATAAAGAGTCAAAGTCTTCTTTTATCCACCTTCTTTACTTGACATGACAAGTGTTAACTCTCATCTTTTTTGTTTTTTATTTTCGTTTTTTGTTTTTTTATTTTTTCTAATTACTTGTCTTTTTTCTTTTCTCATTTGTCTTTTTTTTTCTTTATGTTCTTTATTTTATTTTATTTTTTTTACTAAAAACTACTCAACACTACAATGTGTTTTTTTAAAATATATATTTTTTCTCCGTTTTGCTGCTATTAACATAAATTCTTTTAAATGCATCCTTACTTATTTCTATTATTTTTACTAAAATAACATTAATGGTATAATTCTTATTTGATGTGTTTTTTTACCTGCTTACTCATGTTAAAAAATAATTTTTCAAATGTGCATCTATTTAATTTTTTCTATCTAATCATACACGGTAACATGTGTGGAGCACATCATCAAACTAATATTTTTTAAAAACTAAAAATATAAAAAAGATTTAACTATAAAAATTCTCCCATAATTATTACCCTTATAATACTTTACCTCTCGATCTTTAAAATGTAATATCCGTTCCCTCAATTATGAATTGTTAACAAAAATGCTCATTCCTTCGGTTTTTGTAACAGAAAAGTCACTCATATTACATAATTAGGAGTATTTTGGTAATCCTACATTTTTTTTTGAAAAAAATACTACAAATTAAAAATTAAAACCATCTAAGTATTTTTTTTCAATTAATTAATTAGAAGAGTAAACTTAAAAATTAATTAGAAGAGTAAAATTAAAAATTATGTCCTGTTACTTTATTTTCTTTATTCTCATATTTAATTAAAATTATTTTTTAAAAATATAAATCTAAAACTTATGTGTAGAAAAGTAATTCTGTACATATAAAAACAACATTATTATCAACAATTTATTATATATAATTTAGAAGAATAATGTTATGTTTTAAAAATTGAAAAATAAAAGTGGTATGCAAGACATATTTTAAGAGACGTTTAGTTTATGGATTAAAATCATGAGATTAAAATTATTTTTAATTTATGTATATTTTTTATAAAAAAAATACTATAACGAATTATAAATCATGATTCAAATCAGGTACGAATCCCTTATCAATAAAAACAAGCGGCTAATATAACCATAGTCAAATACACCAGCATAAAAACTAACCCTCATTGGACCCGGACCCGGACCTTTTCGTGGATACGTGTAGCTGGAATCTGGATGACGCGGATATGTCAAACACACGGATAAGAGTTCGACACGTGTACGGTCGGATTTGTTCTGAACCGCCTCTTGTTAGGTTAAATTTAGGGTTAGGTTAGGGCCTCTCTTTCTCAAAGATAACAACTTTTCTCTCTCTTCTGTTTCTCGTCAAATTCGAGATTTTCTCTCGGTTTCGGATCGATTTTCGCTTGATTTTCTTCTGCGATTTGCTGTTGATTATGGAGATGGAGCGCGTGATGGAGTTTCCCCACACTCACCTCGATCGCCGGCCGCGAAAGAGGGCTAGATTGGGCTGGGATGTTCCTGAAACCCCAAAGGTAACTTTTTTTTTCTTCTCCGAAACTCTCAGATCTGTTGGATTTGATTATATTTTCATTGATTTTGGTTCTTGATCTGAACGATTATGTGTGATTTAGGTTTGTCTGGATCAGGTACGGATCGATCTTGGTTGTTCTTTCTTGCGATTGATTAAAGATTTAATCTTTGTGATATTCTTTGAAAATCAGTAACTCATGGAGTTATTTTACGCGATTTGCTTGTTGTTTCAGCTTCTGATTTGTGTCTATATCTTCTGGTAATTCAGAATCATGTTGTTAGATGATAATCTGTTTATCTATATATGAAAAGTTTGTATTTTTCTTGAGAACTGAAAAGAAAATATTGGATTAATTTATTGCTTTATGGGTATTCGATACTTTTTGTTCTTGATTCAATATTTTATATTTTGCTGTATTTTATTTTCTTTGAATTTTTCCTTGCAATTGACAGGGGTTGTTAACCATAAATTTATTTTTCCTAAATAGTGCTCTGTTATATTTTTTGTTCAATTCTCACTGACTAATGGGTTGAGCTTTGGGATAAGGCATTTGGTTGGAAAGGATTTTGATTTTAATCTCAGATAGAATATGTATAATGGCTATGTGTAGGCTCAGGTAGGAATGTTATGTGGACAAGAGGTTGGGAATTTCACAAGCTTTGCATCTTTGACCGCACCCTCAGACCACAATAGTAGTTCTTCTCTATTTCTAAAGGGAGTGGCTCGAAATGGTTCTCCGCCTTTGCGTGAGGATGACAAGGATGGGCATTACATGTTTGTGCTGGGAGAAAATTTAACTTCTCGCTGTAATTACACCTTTCCATCATCAAAAATACTTTCCATCTCTTAGTTGCCCTCATCATTATTTAGGCCAATTTAAATATGTTCCGAGAGCTCGGAATTTTTTTTCACAGATTTGAGTGGTTTTAAATTTTTTACAGAGATTCTCGGGATGTTCTTGTTAATTTATTCTCTAATCACTGTGTCCTAGATGTTAAATGGCGGAATGCATATCATTAAACATGTTAATTGTGTAATTGCAGATAAGATCCATAGTAAAATGGGTGAAGGTACCTTTGGTCAGGTCTTAGAATGCTGGGACAGAGAAAAAAGGGAAATGGTTGCCATAAAAATTGTTCGTGGAATTAAGAAGTACCGTGAAGCAGCAATGATAGAAATTGAAATGTTGCAGCAACTTGGAAAACATGATAAAAATGGAAATCGGTGAGTGATTCTATACCTTTTTATCTCCATTGTGGAACTTATCCGACACCTAGAAAAGGTTTCCTGAGCTTTGTAGCAATTGTTAAATGGGTTTATTCCTTGCAGTTGTGTGCAATTACGGAACTGGTTTGACTATCGTAACCATATCTGTATTGTAAGTATATGTTGATTTGTGATGGATTGATTTCCCCAATTAACAAATAGTTTGGGGGTTAAGCCTTGTGGGTGAATTCAAATGGTTTTAACAGGTCTTTGAGAAGCTTGGACCAAGCTTATACGATTTTCTACGCAAAAACAATTACCGCTCATTTCCCATTGACCTTGTCCGTGAGATTGGCAGACAACTGTTGGAATGTGTAGCATGTGTGTAGTAATTACTTTAGCTAACTTCTTTTTTATCTTATTTACAAATTCCGTTATTTATTCTATTTTGAACATGTTTGTCTCAACTCACTGAAAATGTTAGCGCTTACCCTTTTAGGTTCTTAATTTGCTTTCACCACAGTTCCCGAACAATATTTTGTTTCTTATTCTAGTTTTGAAGTTGTGTGCCCATTAAGTTTATGTGGCAGAGAGCAGTGCAAAAATGTGTTCTTTTTTTGGTTGATCACGTTCCTCTTTTTCTTGGTTCAGTCATGCATGACTTGCATCTGATTCATACCGATTTGAAGCCTGAGAACATTCTTCTTGTTTCTCCGGATTATGTCAAAGTTCTTGATTACAAGGTAATCTCCGATTTATTTTCATGCTTTGTTTTGCCACTTTAGCTTCATGTATGGCTCTTTTATTGTGTCTTTTTCCCCCCCACCTAGTTCTTGTTTTATGTTGTGTTGTGACTGGTCTCTGCTGTTCTCAGAGTTCTTCTCGGTCGCCAAAGGACAGTTCTTACTTTAAAAGAGTGCCAAAATCAAGCACTGTCAAGGTGATTGATTTTGGTAGCACAACTTATGAGCGTCAAGATCAGAATTATATTGTATCAACGCGCCATTACCGCGGACCTGAGGTTATCCTTGGTAAGTACAATTTCATTTGGTCCCATGCCTCCATAATTTCTCCCATGACTAATCACCTTGATGATTTCTTCCCAGGACTTGGGTGGAGTTACCCTTGTGATATATGGAGTGTTGGTTGTATATTGGTGGAATTGTGTACGGTAAGTTTTCTGAAATTGTTGATTTTTTTTTTTTTATAGTAATGCGATGCCATTTCCACATGTATGCTTAGTTCTGATTGTTGGCGCAGGGTGAGGCATTGTTTCAAACTCATGAGAATTTAGAGCACCTTGCTATGATGGAACGTGTTTTGGGTCTGCTTCCCCAACATATGTTGAAGAGAGTAGAGTGAGTTATCATGCTGTATTTCTTTATTTGTTCTTTTGTTTTGAAATGAAATATAAATGAGTAAAGATGCTCATTGTATTCTTGATGTTTCCAGCCGACATGCGGAGAAGTATGTTAGAAAGTCCAGACTAGATTGGCCAGAAGGTGCAACCTCAAGGGAGAGTATTAGAGCTGTTCAGAAGCTCCCTCGTCTTCAGGTTTGCGTTCTACTGGTTGTTTGTACTCTGTCATCTATCAACGTTTTTCACCATCAAAGTGCTTACCATTGTGTTTTGCGTCCAATCTTGTGCAGAACCTCATAATGCAGCATGTAGACCATTCCGCTGGTGATCTCATTCATCTGTTGCAGGGATTACTTAAGTATGATCCTTCTGATAGGCTTACAGCTTGCGAAGCCCTCAGGCATCCATTTTTTTCTAGGGATCACTTGCGACGGTGAGGCATATGATTTGAAAATGGAAAAGGGCGGTTAAAATCATCAAAGGTCTTCCCTTTCTCAGGCAAGGGATGCAATTGGGATCTAACTTTGATTTGTATAGTTGCCTGAATCGCCAAATGGTGTAAATAATTACCCATCAACTGAATGGAACAGGCGCACAAAACCGTCGTCTACTGACACCCCAATTGTGTATGCTGCAAACTTCAATTCTGCATTGTACAGAATTTGAGATACAGACCAGTTGACGTTTAACTACTTGGTACTGTAAAATTTCCTTTTCCGTATATAGATATGGCTTCAATTCTTCTTTATTTCAATTTTTGCTGATCATTTGTGTTAAGATGGTTTAGTTCTTCCAATTCCTCTTGTAATAATTGGTTTTTTTGTCTAAAATGGCTGAGGTACCCTTGCGATTGACTGCGGTTGCCAAAATTCCGTTTGTGGTTTGTTCTTTCTGTGTCGTGCTTTAAATTTATTGTTAAACACGTTGAAGACCCTATGTTGGGTTGGTAAAACTCGACAAATAATTTGTCTTACTCGTCCCTTATAGGGCGTATTAATAAAAAACCCAACCAAATAAAACAAATGTTAATTTGACCCTTGGCTCTCGTTTCAATACTCTGTTTACGTGTTTAATTCGATGTAACCCAAAAAGAAATGGGACAAACTGATTACGCATGTGTAGGTATCCATATTCGATCTTCCTTGTGGCATTTGATTTCTTCTACGGTGAACCTTGTCGCAAACCAAACCAAGTAATGCTCATCCATTGCTATAAACCTTGTGGCATTTGATTTCTTCTACGGTGAGCCTTGTCGCCAACCAAACGAAGTAATGCTCATCCATTGCTATAAAAAAAAGAATCAGCTGTATATGCATATGAATCTAAAGACTGGAAAATTTGTCTCATTTGTTCTGGGGTAACTAAAATGGAAATGGCTAAAGTACTACCACTCTTCTTTCATCCCTTATTCATCGTCTCCTATTTCCTCCTCTTGACATTTCTTCTGTTCAAACGCAATAGATCTAGCTGTAATAAGCTTAACTTACCACTATCGCCGCCAAGGTTACTGATCAACAGGAACCTTCACCAGCTAGGGACACACCCGCATTGCTCTCTCCGAGCGCTCTCCGATAAGTATGGTGGTATGATGCTCTTGCACTTGGGCTGTGTCTCGACCCTAGTGGTTTCATATGCAGAAATGGCGAGAGATCGTCTAGACACATGACATAGCTTTCTCCAACCTGCCTACAACCACTTCTAGTGATATCTTATTATATGGAGGCAGTGATATAGGCTTCTCTCCATACGGCGAATTCTGGAGGCAAGTTCGAACTATTTGTATCCTTGAACTTTTGACCATGAAACGAGTGCAAGAGTTTCAGTACGTGAGGGAAGAAGAAGTAACGATAGTGATCGCTAAGATACGAAGATGAATACTTGCAGTAATAACATGACTACCATAAACCTGAGCGAGGTGTTGATGGAAACTTATAATTATTAGACAAAGAAGTAGTACTGAAGAAGGTGGTGGGAAGTGGGTACACAGAGCAATCAAGAAGGTCGACGGAGCAACTTATGGCATTTAGTGTCGGAGATTTCTTTCCTCCTTTGAAATGGATCGACAATCTTCGAGGGTTCATGGTGTTGAGAAAAGTACTTGTATGTGTTGTCCTACATGAAAAGTGGATGATGATGTGAAGTGGTTTATATACATGCAAGGACCTTAGACCCAATAGGTTAACCTTTTAGGTCAAGTTGGGCTCCTGAAGTTTGTTGGGCTCCTGAAGTTTGTTGGGCTTTTGGAATGTGATGCTTGGATATACCGGCTACTAGAAATTTTGGTTTGAGAGGGGGCTCGGTGAACACACATGAGAGGAAGATTGTTGAAAAAAGTACATGTGTGTTGTCCCACATGGAAAGTAGATGAGGATGTGAAGTTGTTTATATATATATGGAAGGACCTTAGACTCAATTAGTTAACTTTTTAGGTCAAATTGGGCTCTTAAAGTGTACATGTGTCGGGCTATTTTCACGTGTGATTTCTCCTCAAAACATTTTGATATGTGATTTCTCGCCAACACACGGGGAAGTTAAGAGTAAGCTCTGGACAGTTTTTCCCATAGGATCATTGAATAACACAAGGCAACAATGAAAAGTCCTGATATGATCCGAGACTTTGTGGATATTCTTCTAAGACTTTCAAAAGGATAGCATCAAAGACTTTGAGCTAACAATGGACAATGTAAAAGCTATCCTACAGGTCTCTTTCGCTATCACATATTTCTATATTTCTATTGTACACATATATCAGTCCAATCCCCCAGATAAATATGGAACAATTCTAAAATAAGAAAAATTAGGTGCACAATACTAACGAAGGTAGTTAAAAAAAGAGAAGAGTCCCTACATTTTTCATAACTATAACTGACACAATCAATATTAAATAAATGTAAAAATGCAGGTAAGAATCAATTATATTACTGGCTCTTCAAGAAATTGATTAGAGTTAGTAACATAAATATATATCCTATATATATATATATATATTGAATATGTGTTCTATATATATGTGAATCTGTAATAATATTAAGTATAACGTGTATATAGATATACTTGACTGCAAGACTGAAGCTTATGATATGATTTTATCTTTATCGACAGGACATGCTCGTGGGTGGAACTGAAAGTACTTGGATAACATTGGAATGGTTAATGGCGGATTTGGTGAGAAACCCGAGGGTGATGAAGAAAGCTAAAGAGGAGGTGAGAAGAACGGTGGGCAATAAAACAAAGATTGATACAAATGACACCAGTCATATGAATTACTTGAAATATGTCATAAAAGAGAATATGAGATTACATCCTGTAGCTCCACTTTTGGTTGCTCGAGAAACAAGCGAAAAAATCAACAATATGGGAGGATATTATATTCCGGCGAAAACAAGAGTGTTTTGTTAGAAATCAATGATTTGGTGAAAACCATCACCCAAAAGCCAAGGACATTCATATCAGATCATCAAGAACTAATAAATATGTAAGCGGAAGCATATCTGAATCTATATTAACTGATTTCTCTCTAGAGTCGTGTAATTTGTCTTCTAGATCAACACGTTTTCCTAGAGAATCTTTTAATTTTCTCTTTGTACTCTCTTTGATGATGAGATGTCAGAAGGAATAGAATGTAACGTGTGATCTAGGGACCATAACTGTCATTTATAGATAACTTTCCTGTTATCTTTCGGTATTTCTATTTTAGCCATTATAAAAATATAAATTACTCTTAAGTCTCTACATATTAAAAGCCCACACCCTATTAGATACATTAAAATCCAAAATACCCAAACTTTAGTAGATCACTTTTAATTGAGTTTAACCTTATATGACAGCCCACAATACATAAATATTCACATATAAGTCCAACGTTGGATTAAGGATCCAACATGTTCATCAATGCATGGGCAATCCAGAGGAGCCCAAGTTGGCAGGACAAACCGGAGGAGTTCATCCCAGAGAGGTTCGAGAATAGCTCGGTCGATTTCTAAACTTTAGTAGATAACTTTTAATTGAGTTTAACCTTATATGACAGCCCACAATACATAAATATTCACATATAAGTCCAACGTTGGATTAAGGATCCAACATGTTCATCAATGCATGGGCAATCCAGAGGAGCCCAAGTTGGCAGGACAAGCCGGAGGAGTTCATCCCAGAGAGGTTCGAGAATAGCTCGGTCGATTTCTAAGGGTAAGACTCGCAATTTATTCCGTTTGGTTTCGGAAGAGGAGGTTGCCCTGGCTTGACATTTGCGATTGCTAGTATTGAATATGTCATTGCCAACCTTCTATTCTGGTTTGACTGGAAGTTGCCTGGTGGTGATGGTGTGATGTTGTCCGAGGAATTGGATATGAGTCAAGGGGTTGGGCTTACCGTTCATAAGAAAGTCCCTCTTCATCTTGTTCCAATGCCCTACTCTCCTTGATCAAAAGTGCACGTACAAATTGTGTAATTTTTATGTATTGTAATAAAAGAGAACACTGTATGTTTAGTCCAAATTGTGTAATTGGGCAATCCAAGTCATATAATTTAGTCCATACATGCGCATTCGTTGTGCATTGTGAGCGAAATTTGGTCTCAATTGTCAAAAAGTCTGAAAACTCAGAGCTTCATATTACAAGCACCAATGGACTGAATTGAATTTTTATCCCATACTTGTTCTAAATGAAGGTGAATATTATAGGAACCACAACCCAACAAAATCAATGTCCATTGAAGACTTTCAAGATTTGGCTCAATCGTTCTACCAATCCAGTGAGTTTCCAGGATTGTTGTCCTTTATTTAAGAAACTTCTACCAATAAATAATGCTTTGCAAACTAAGAGGCGCTCTTGATATCTATATATTCACTAATTTTAATCGTTGTTGATAAACTCGCACTTCTTACGAATTTGATTAAAAAAGATATTAATAAAAAATTAAGGAATCTAAATTTAAACTCATGCACTTTAAAAGATATTTGTTTTCTTTCTCTTAAAATCAAATAAAGTTAAAAAACATGTGCACAATGATCGGAGAAGACCGGATCCTGCCAGAATTCATCGAGATCGTATGATTCCAACACCAAATAATTAAGAGAGAGGTGAGAGGAGAATGACGGGGAAGGACGGAGCGGACCTAACACAGGGAATTAAGACATGCAATTTATTCCACTTCTGATTAAATAAAGAGTTGGGGGTTGGCACAGGATGAAGAGGGACCTTACAAACAGTCAAATCAAATTCTTCCCACAATATTACCACAATATTGCACCATCTTTTATTTTTCCCCGTTAATTAATACCAAATCAAAGGTTGAATAAATAAAAGCTGACTAAGCTAATCATTAATTGTGTCAGACACTAGTCTATTGTTTTGATCATATTACATGCGCTGATCTATATTACTGTAGAGTATTAGAATTTTTTTTTTTTTTTTTCAACTTAGAAGGAAACTTGAATTCTAGACCTTAAAAATATTGAAAATGAATGCATAATTAGTAATTACTGTTAGATTGAGCACGTTGGTTTTAGGACTTCAACCTAATGATTCTGATTCTATTATCTCACAAAAAATTTAAGGACTCATTACAAAAGTTCTCTTTGAATTATACTCCTATAACACTTTACTTTTTTATTTTTAAAACGTAATATATGTTCTTCATGCACAATAAAATGTAAAAAAAAAAAAAAAAAAGCATCTTTCGTTAGATTTTTTAACTGAAATTGACATTTAATTTGTTATTTTTAGATTATTTTGATAATTTTATGGTTTAAAATTGAAGTTGAATCTAAAATAATTTAAATTTTAAAAAAACCTCATAAATTTTTTTATTCTACCAAAAAAATTCATAAAATTTTTAACTTACATTAAATCAATAATGGATGTGTCATAATTAAAAGTTTGAATTTAAATTAGTTTTAAATTCAAACTAAAATTTTAAACTATATAGCTACTAATTATTCCCCAAAATAATAAATTATATGTCAATTTCCCTTAAAAAAAACCTAACATAAGGGGATTTTTTTGTTAACATTTCATTGTTCAGGAGAAACAGATATTATGTTTCAAAGGTCGAGAGATAAAGTGTTACAAGTGTTATATTTCAGGGGAAGTTTTTGTAATTAATCTAAAATTGAAATAAAAAAGTGGGTTCTCTCACAAAATTTAAATTCAAGATCAAAATTTAAATGGGCCATAAGTCAACCACAATTGCTAACTTTTAGATTTCTCGACTTTCCCATATTGAAATTTTAAGCTTAACCCTTTTTTTAAATTTTTTTTCTAAGTTCTCAGATCACGATCAGTTTTAAGTTGATATAAAAATTAAAAAGTCTTCTCTCTTCCTGTTTTCTCTCAAATGCATACTCTCATTACGATATATAATTTTTCAAAATTCCTGAAATAACAAAGGAAAATGCTATAAAAATATACCGAGGCATTGAAATTGGGAAATTATTTTTCTTTAAATCTTGTGAAGAAAACATCATATAAGTGAATACCGTGAGATAATAAAAGTTGAAAGACCCCACACATTTTAGGTGTAGAATTAAATTGGGATGTAAATGAAATTTTCTCTATGTAATAATGTCTTTACAAAATATAATATTCGCTTGAGATAAATGAATTTCTTGTCGTTAAACATTTTCTTTTAATTTTTTTTTTTAATTTTTAGCAACTTGTCCCCTAAACTTTTAATTTTGATAATTTATCCCATCAACTTTCTTATCTATTGCAATGTGGCCCGTTTTGATAATATCTATCAGATCGGTGATGCTAAAATGCTAGCACGTCTCACGCAAAGGTAGAAAACCTACATGTAACTTAAAAATCTCCCAATCTCAATTCAAAGGCTAACACAAATTTCTAAATACTCTAAATCTCAACTCCAAAATCTAATCCAAATTCAGAGCAAAAGCTCAGACCATGTTGCCGGCGAGCACCAGTCGCACTAGACACAATGATTTCCCTATTCCAACCTCGCCTCGAGATCCCTGTCCCCTAACTCCCCCTCCATTGCATGATTGAGGCCGAGGAGATCGGGTCAAGTCCGCGCTAGGGTTCGTTGCAATATCAAAGGCAATTTATATGTGTTTGGCAGTGCAAAGAGATTTTGAAGGAGCAAATTTTAGAGCGATATTGGGCTCAATGTTCTTTGTCAAAAGCATGTGCCAACTCCTCCTTGTGTGTTTTTTGTCCTTTCGAATGCTTAATTATTTACTTACAAACAGTGGTGAAAAATTGGGGATTTGATTTTCCATATGGATTTTAGGTGTTGCGCCGAAATGGCAATAATTAGCGTGATTGGCTAAGTTGACAAAGATGGAAAAGTTCAGGGCAATTGTACGGAAAACCTTAAAAATAATTGACGTACATAGGTCTACTAAAGCCCGCATATACCAACCTGGCAAGAAGTATTAAAATCCCCCGGAAAAACAGAAAATAAAAAAAAAAATGATAGAAGTCCTTACAAACTAATAATCCACAACAGCTTGTGATTAAAACTAATTATAATAATTGATCAAAAGCGATTAGACACAATAATCGAGAATAATTAAGTTAGAAGGAACATGTGATTAGATAACAAATATTAAATTCACACGCGCATCTGACTATTAAATAAAAATATAAAAACACTTAAAATCATTTCAATAAAAGATTAAAGAAACAACTGAAACCAGCACGCTAATGACTTAAAAAATGCTACAATTTTTCTTTTTCGATAGAGACGCCACACTTATTGATGAACCAAGACAAATTAAAAGAGAATAAAAAAAATGATACCGCTAAGAAAATGATTCCCTACATAGACCCCCGAATTCGTCATGTGCGTTTAGTACTTAAATTTCTTTACATGTGTGATATGGTTACTCCATTAATAAATAATTAGGCCCCTCTACGTGTATTTTATACTTCGTATTTTATACAAGTACATAAGCTTCAGAGGAAGAAATGGAGGCAGACAGTGGTTTCAATGCTCGAGCTTGGCGGCGTCAAGATTGCTAGAGATGGTAACTTTTCTGCTTTTCTCAAGTCGATTCGTCCAATTTCTCAAATTTAAATTTCGAGTTTCTTGGTTTGTTTCTTTTTTTTTTTTCGATCTTTGTTTGGTTTCTGAGAAAATGAGAGGGAAAGGAAACGACTGTGCAGATTTTTATGGAAAATACTGGATTTTTAATACAAATTTTAATGCTTTTTTTTTTTTTTTTTCTCATAATACATGTCGCCAGATAAAAGGAAGTGTTAGCTGACTTACGAAAAACTTTGTAAAGAAGACAAGAAAAGCGCGATAAAGTATATTATAATCTTTTACAGAAATCGAAGGATATTGAGCCTAATTCAACCTATCAAAATCGGTTTATTAAGGAAATATTGCCCTCACTTTATTAAGTAGATCATGTCAATATCTTCAGCTAATGTAGGATTCTAATACACCCCCTTACGCACAGCGTGGACCATGCCAAACCGCTGCGAATAAGTCGATATTGGGGGACCCAACATTGCAAAATTAGGCCTGCTCTGATACTATTTTACAGAAATCGAAAGATATTGGGCCTAATTTAACCTAATAAAACTGACTTATTAGGGGAAGATTGCCCTCACATTATTAAGTGGATCATGTCAATATTTTCAGCCAATGTGAAATTTTAATGGCACAAACCAATTGTATTTTATACTTTAGTTAATAGATATATACTTGTAATTTGCATTATTACCATTTTGACCTTTTCTGATAATCACCGACTACGGTAATGTTGGTGTTGAAAGCTTTTCTTATTTTACATATTGGAGTGGAGATCTAAAATATAAATTTTTCTCTGGTTATAAGAATAGAGGATATAGACTCATTATCTTCTATAAAGAACAAAAAAATGGAATCGCATGTCTTACATCTTTTGAAGCATTTGTGGCAAGAGCTAGAGTTGACCCCTTTTCTTGTCTTTCTTTTCCTCCTTTCTTTGCTGTTTTTGTTCATTCTTTGTAGATATTCTCGTTCTAAACTCAATTTACCACCATCACCAACAAGGTTACCACTGATTGGAAACCTTCACCAGCTTGGCACGCATCCACACCGCTCTTTCCGAGCACTCTCCGAAAAATATGGCCCTCTAATGCTCTTACACTTGGGCCAAGTTCCAACTCTTGTTGTTTCATCAGCCGATATGGTGAAAGAAATCATCAAAAACCATGACGTCACTTTCGCTAACCGAGCTAAATCCACAGCCAGTGAAATCATAGTGTATGGGTGCCAAGACGTCGGGTTTGCTCCTTATGGAGAACATTGGAGACAAGCTCGAAAAATCTGCGTTCTTCACCTTTTGAGCCACAGAAGAGTTCAACAATTTCAGGCCGTGAGGGAAGAAGTGACGGCTGAAATGATTGACAGGATAGGCCGAGCTAGCCGATCTAGAAAGGATTCTTCGATAAATCTAAGCGAGTTGTTGATTGCAGCCTCCAACAACATATTGTCCAGATGTGTTCTTGGAAGGAATTTTGCGGATCAAGACGGCCCTAGCAGGTTTGGAGAGCTGTCGAGAAAGATCGTGGAAAATATGGTAGCCTTTAGTGTGGGAGATTTCTTCCCTTCTTTGACATGGCTGGACAATCTCACAGGCCTTATAGGCCGCTTGAACTTAATGTTCAAAGAAGTGGACACCTTTTTTGATGAAGTGATTGAAGAACACAGGGCAGTACTATTAGAGGGTGGTGATGATATTGGCGGGTCTAATATAAAAGACTTTGTTGATATTCTCCTTGGAGTTCAAAAGCTTGGCATGCTTGACTTTGACCTCACTCTGAACAAGATGAAAGCAATCTTAGTGGTCTCTCTCTCTCTCTCTCTCTCTCTCTATATATATATATATATGTATGTATGTATGTATGTTGACATACACATACTAAAATTTACAAGGCTGATATTACAGGACATGTTCATAGGTGGCAGTGATACAACTTCGGCAACATTAGAGTGGGTAATGGCAGAGCTACTAAGGCATCCAAAAGTGATGGAGAAAGCGCAAGAAGAGGTGAGGAGAGTGGTGGGGATCAATAGGTCAAAGATTGATATGAATGTTGTCAATCAAATGGATTACCTGAAATGCGTCATCAAAGAGACTCTAAGACTGCATCCACCTGTTCCGTTTCTAGTCCCGCGAGAAACGACCGCAAGCGTTGAGATGGGAGGCTTTCATATTCCGGAGAAAACAAGGGTGTTCATAAATACATGGGCAATCCAAAGGGACCCAAATGTCTGGGACAAGCCAGAAGAATTCGTTCCGGAGAGATTCCATGATAGCGATGTTGATTTCAATGGACAGGACTTTCAATTTGTACCGTTTGGTTCTGGAAGAAGAATATGTCCTGGCTTGACTTTTGGAGTCTTTAGTACTGAGTACGTGATTGCCAACCTTTTGTACTGGTTTGATTGGAAGTTGCCCGTTGATGATGGCATAATATTGCCGAATGATTTGGACATGAGTGAAGTTTATGGGCTCGTTATTCATAAGAAATTTCCTCTTAATATTGTACCAATACCTTACTCCCCTTGATCCATCTATGAGGGATCTAATACTCTTGATATGTTGTGTTTTCTTTTTTTTTTTCAAAACTTTGTGAAATGTAAATTCAAATAAAGTGTTATGTATGTTTTAGATAAGCAAGGCCTTTCCTTCCTATTTTCAACTATAATAACATTGAAGCGAGAGATTTTGGCCATGTTTGGAATTGATTCCGTTTTTATTTTTTACATTTTTCGAGAAAGAAAAAATGAAAACGTTTTCAAAACGGCGTTTGGCGCAATAAAGACAAAAAACAAAAATGAAAACGATTTGTTGATTTAGTGTAAAATGAGAGAGAAATAAAAAATGACTTTTAGTCGTTTTTCATTTTTTATTTTTATTTTCTCCTCTCTCGAACAGAGAGAGAGAAAGAAAGACATTAATGAGTTTTCGAGCAGAGAGAGACAAAAAGACATTAATGAGTTTTTTTTTTTACACTGAAAACAATCTCTTGATAAAACTACTAAACGCCTTTTTAAAAATGATTTCTGTCTGAGATTGAAAACGTTTTCATTTTCATTTTCATACAAAAAAATAAAATTATTTTAGAATGAGTTCTAAACACGCCTTTTGTGGATATTCTTCGAGACTTCGAAAGGATGCATCAACGACGAGCTCACAAGAGAACGTAAAAGCTATACTACAGGTGTCTTTCGCTCTTGTATATTTCCAGCTTTCAATCGTACAATACATACATATGTAATAAGACTAGGCAACAAAGAAATGCAACGAAGAACTAGAAGAATACTCTGAAGTGAGGGACATAAATTTTAGTTTCTCCCTTTAAAAGGGTACGCAATTCTAAGAAACAAAAATTAGGGGTAGAGGACTAAGGGAGTTAAAAAGGGGACATAATCTATACTAAGTAAACGTAAAAGTGTTGGCAAAAATAAGACTATAGCTTAGTATGGTTGAGCTGTTGAAATTTTTTTGTTGTTGTGGTGGTGGTGGTGGTATGTGTAGATCAGAAATTACCATGATTAGAAATATTTAAGTGTTTGGTAAATTTTTCAATTTAAAGTTGTCATGAATATCGGAAGCATAAATTTAGGTGTTTGATAAATATTTGGCAAACTATGTATAAAATTATTGTAAAGATTTACAATGACGAAAATAGACATATTAAAGTACACATATTTATACTTAGTTTTATTTATATTTATGTCAATACTCGTTCCATTTTTATACCAAAATACTAAAAATGTAATTTTAATTTTATCAATTATAATAATTTCTAAAAAATAAATTACTTTTATTCAAGGAAAAAATTACTCATTTACTGAATTTCTTATTTAAATGTAGCATAGTATACTTATTAACAATTTTAAATTTTTAAATAACTATTTAAAAATATATATGTTTTTGCTTGGCATGGAAAAAACAAACTGGGGTAGATTGAGAATTAAGTTTTATTATTTAGGTTATCTTAGTAAAATTAGACAATAATGACAAAAGTTGTTGTGCAAAGGTAACTCCTAACTTGCTTCTCAAATTTAGTTATTTGACAACTGTTTTCAGAACCTGCTAGACAAAAACAAGATTTACCTAACACCTAATCGATCTACTATAATTTTTTTTTTTTTAAAAAGTGAAGGGTTTTTGGCACAATTACCCCTCGAACTTATTGTGATTTAGCAAATTGCCCCTTAAACTTTTAATTTTGGCAAGTTGCTCCCTGAACTTATAAATTTGTTGTATTGTGCCCCATTTAACTAAATTTACTCAAATTTTGTATTAGGTTTAAGGGATTAAAACTTGAGATATTGAAAGATTTGTTTTACATTTGAATTGGAGTGTTAAAATTTTTGACTGAACGTGCTTTTTTTACACTAATTTAATACAATCGTCATTAAAACGGGGTATATTGTAATAACTTTACAAGTTAAGGGGTAACTTGCCAAAATTAACAGTTGCGGGGCACTTTGTTAAAACACAACAAGTTTAAGGGGTAAATGTGCCAAAAAAACCAGAAGTCAAAAACAGCTTCTAAAAGTAATGCCAAATAAGCTCATAAGTACCGAGTTTTAAAGGAATTAGAGTTTGTATTATAGTAAATTTGTTTCTTATTATACGCAAATCTGTAATATATTAGTTAAGATAGATAACAAACTAAAAATGTCACGTTTTAATAAAAATCTGATCATTCTTTTTCCCAATCACATTTTCTTTGTGAAACTGATTTTTCTAATTATGATCAAACTTTTCGGTTTTAACTTGACTATGAGACTGGAGCTTATGATACGATATCTTCTACTTATCGATGGTGAGCAATAAGATGAAGATATAAAGGATGATATCAGTCATATGAATTACTTGAAATGTGTCACAGAAGAAAATATAACTACATCCTGTACCTCCACTTTTATTTGCGCGAGAAACGAGTGAGAATATCAACATGGGAAGATGTCATATTCCAAAAACAAGAGTATTCATCAATGCACGGACAATCAATAGATGCCCATGTTGGTGGACAAGCTTGTTGAGACACGTATTCTGAAAAGTCTTTGTTTTGTTAACAGCTGTTCTAGTATTTGTTAACAGCTGTCCTAGTATTTAGGAGTTTGTTTTTAGTGGAGTAGTGTTGAACTGTTTCTTAGCAAGTTTGTTTTACTGATAAATAATGGTTTGTTATTTTACCGAGTCTTTAGCTTTTGCACGTTAGATTTAGTGGGCTCTCACATGTTAGTGGGCTCCTGATGTTGCTCTATATAAAGAGCTTTGTACGTTCAGTTTTATTTGACAGAAAAACATAAAAAGGTTCTTCATCTTTGTCTTCTTCCACTTTTATATATATTTTTTGTAACAGTGGTATCAGAGCCATAAAAAAAAAAAAAAAAAGGTAAACTCACGTGAGTAAGTAAGGGAGTGAAATAGAGTGATAGCAGTAGCTTTTTATTTCACTTGTTTTCTATTTTGCAGAAGCAAATGGCGTCAGAAACAAGATTTGTGCAGCCGGCAATTCCCCGTTTTGATGGTAACTATAATCATTGGAGTATGCTGATGGAGAACTTCTTGAGGTCCAAGAAGTATTGGCAAGTTGTTGAGTCTGGAGTACTAGAACCAACAGCCGGAGTAGTGTTGTCGGAGACGCAGAGAGCAGAGTTGGAAGCATTGAAGTTGAAGGACCTTAAGGCCAAAAACTACTTTTTCCAAGCCATTGATCGAGCAACTTTAGAGACAATTCTTAACAAAGACACCTCCAAGCAGATTTGGGACTCCATGAAGAAGAAGCACCAAGGGAACGCGAAGGCACAGCGGGTGCAGCTTCAAAGACTTCGATCTGAATTTGAAACTTTGCGCATGAAGTCAGGAGAGTCGATTACAGATTTCTTCTCAAGAACGATGACAATTGCTAACAAGATGCGAATCCATGGCGAGAAGATGGAGGATGTCACCATCGTTGAGAAAATTCTTAGATCAATGACACCGAAATTTAATTTTATTGTTTGTTCTATAGAAGAATCCAAAGATATTGATACGCTTTCACTTGACAAATTACAAAGTTCTTTGTTGGTTCATGAGCAGAAAGTTGTCCAACAGGAGTATGAAGAACAAGCTTTGAAGGCAGCAGCCAATCCCAGTGGTCCTGGCCGTGGAAAAGGAAAATGGAAGGACAAAAACGCACACCACAAAGCAGATGGAGAACATGCAATTGACTCCAAGTCGAAAGGAAAAGGTCGTGACAAGTCAAATGTCGAATGTTTTCGATGTCACAAGTATGGCCATTATAAGTCTGAATGCAGGACTAATCTCAACAGAGACCGTGGTGCGAAGGCAAATTTTGCAGACAAAGAAGAAGAAATTTCTCTCTTGATGGCTTGTCATGCGAAAGAAAATGTTCATCAAAACTTATGGTACTTAGATATCGGCTGTAGTAACCATATGTGTGGAGACAAGTCCGTTTTTTCAGAATTGGATGAATCGTTCAGCAACACTGTGACGTTTGGCGACAAATCTTCAGTTTCTGTCATGGGCAAAGGCAACGTTAAGATCCACACCAAGGAGAACTCTACTCAAATTATTACTAACGTTTTCTTTGTACCAGATTTGAAAACTAACTTGCTTAGCATTGGCCAGCTCCAAGAGAAGGGATATGAGATCTCTATCAAAGATGGAGTTTGTCGCATTCAAGATAAAAAATTGGGCTTGATTGCTCAAGTCAACATGACGACGAACCGGATGTTCCCTTTGTATCTTGATAGCACTACTCAATTATGCTTCTCTGTAAGGGTGAAGGATGAGGCATGGTTGTGGCATTTTCGCTACGGACATCTGAATTTTGGTGGTCTAAAAACGCTGCAACAGAAGAATATGGTGACAGGTCTTCCGCAAATTCAAAGTCCTTCTCAAGTTTGTGAAGAGTGTGTTGTTGGCAAACAACATCGAGATCAATTTCCAAAAGGAAAATCATGGAGAGTGAAGAAGGTGTTAGAATTGATTCATTCAGACTTATGTGGACCCATCAATCCGACTTCGAATGGCGGTAAACGTTATTTTATAACGTTTATTGATGATTATAGTCAAAAAACTTGGGTTTACTTTTTACAGGAGAAGTCTGAAACTTTTTCAGCTTTCAAAAGTTTCAAAGCGCTAGTTGAAAAGGAAGTGGGCATGCCTATAAAGATTCTTCGCAATGATCGTGGTGGAGAATACAACTCACAAGAATTTGTAAATTTCTGTGAGGAGCATGGAATTCAAAAGCAACCTACAGCAGCCTATACACCGCAACAAAATGGTGTTTCAGAGAGAAAGAACCGTACTATTCTGAACATGGTGCGGACTATTTTGACGAGAAGCGGGATTCCAAGAAGTTTTTGGCCAGAGGCAGTCAATTGGAGCATTCACCTATTGAATAGAAGTCCCACTCTAGCTGTTCAAAACGTGACACCTGAAGAAGCTTGGAGTGGACGCAGACCAAGTGTTGAGCATTTCAGAATCTTCGGTTGCATAGCCTATGCACATGTTCCAGATCAAAAGAGGAGCAAGCTTGA